TCAAATACAATAACTTCAGCATAACTCATGCCTTCAGCATACTTCATTGTGTATGCAGGGTTTTCAATTATAGTGCTTAGGCTGTCATTTTTGACAGGATAATAATTACAGGTATAAATAGCTTTCTTTCTGTAATGGAACACCAACTAAAAAAGAAAGTAGATACCAAGCTACCAAAATATTTGATATTATTACAGTTTGGAGAAGTGTTCCAGGAAGGTCCATCTGTTAAATGCTTGGTCCCCAGCCTGTGGAGCTATTGGCAAGTGGTTGAGATGGAGCCTCCGTGGAAGGTGTTCTGGTCACTGGAGGTGTGCCCTTGAAGAGGATATTTGGATACTAGCCTCTTCTTTTTCTTCTCTCTTGCCTTTAGCCATGAGATAAGGGCTGCTTCTGCCACATGATCCCATCATGATATACTTTTGTGACTTGCCACAGGCCCCCCAAAAATACAGCCAAACAACCCTGCTCTGAAATCTCTAAGACTGTGAGCTAAAACGAATCTTTTCTCTTTTCAAGTTTATTATCTCTGATATTTGTGATGTTAACAGAAGCTGACCAACATACTTAAAACCAAATACAATTAGTTCTTTTCCATACATCAGGTAATAATAATAATAATATTAATAATAATAATAAAAAAAGTATCTATGTACTTGCTATTTCTTTTCCAAATCAATGGTGTGGAACAACCAGTGAGAAACCACTGTCTTCCATGCTGAGTCATCTTGCAACATGTTTGGACAAGTATCTTATGCAGAGGAGAAGAATTGTTCTTTTCTTTTGTTTTCTTTTCTCTCTCTCTCTCTCTCTCTCTCTCTCTCTCTCTCTCTCTCTCTCTCTCTCTTTTTTTTTCCTTTAGTACTAGGGAATCAAGCCAAGGGCCTTATGCATACAGCTTTAAGGCCAGATTCTTTAGGACCCAGCCCAGTTCTTGCTGAGCTCCAGCTTAGCCAAGTGAAGAATGTTGATAAATGCAGACCAAGGTCACGTTAGGGCCATATTAGTTGTGCCAACAGATGGTTCTAGCAAGTCTCTCATATTTACTAGTACAAGGAGGAAATAGAGGAGGTGGGGGGGGGAAGGAAGAGTCTCAGCGCCTCTGGTGGAGAGTAGAGGCTGCAGGAGGTGGGGAAAAGAGAGAGAAAAAACCCAATTAAACAAACCAAGCAAATGGAAGTGAAATTGTCCTCCTCAGGGTGCTGTGCCAAGCAGAAAGCCTTCCAAAAAAAAAAAAAAATCCTCCAATCACTGGAACATTCTTCCTTGCCAATAATACCACCTCTTCAGTTTGGCTTTTGAGCTCAGCAGGTTTCTGGTTGCTCTGAGGGATTCTCAGTGGTACCTTGGCTTTCTTTCTTTTCTATTTTTTTTTAATTTTAATATTTTTTTAAGTTGTAAATGGACACAATATTTTATTTATTTATATGTGGTGCTGAGGATCGAACCCAGTGCCTCACACATGCCAGGCAAGCACTCTACCCCTGAGTCCCAGCCCCAGCCCCAGCCCATTTCTTCCCAGCCTTCTCTGCTCACTACCAGTCAGCTCTGATGTGCCTGGTATGGTTTGCAAACTGATGGAGAAAAATAAAACCTACCTCTCACAGCTGTTGCAGCCAACTTTCCAACCTCCTGGAATACAAAACCGCGTGCTCCCTCCAGGGACATCTCCAATTGACAGTGGGGTGACCATGCTAGACTTTTGGGTGGAGAGCCCAGATTTCTGCCTGAACATGGCTGTTTTGTAGAAAGACCTGCAAAGTGTAGGGACTCAAAACTTCCTCAGTGTTCCTGCGACTGGATACAGCTAGCTATTCTGGTGAGCTGGTCTCCCAAGGACACAGCAGGGACTCTGTGCTGTCCTTTCCCACTGTGCTACCCCTGTGTGGGAAAAGACCTCTCACTCTTCTGTCAGTGACTCCCCTCTTTGATTCAGCATTGGAATCACTCCTTCCACACCCCCAATTCCCTTTCTCCTCTTTCCCAATTTCTCACCAGGCAAAACTCCAACTTCGGTTAAATTCTTCTTTTCTCTTACTCTATTCCTGTACCAAGTGGCCGAATATGGCTGTAGGAAAGAACGACAATCAATAACAAAACCATCCTGACATGAGTGCTTGCCTGACTCTCAAATTTGGACCAATTTCAAGTGAACCATCAATGCTGCTGGGCCAAATCCTCTTAGTGAATCCATTCTCAATCTCTCCAAAATCATTGTTTCCTTGATTTGATTCTTCTCACATTCAGGTAATGACTTTGCTTCTGATTTCACTGGGAAAAGGCAGCAATTAGCTGAAAACAGTCCCTTTGTCCCTGTGGTGAACATTGCTAGATAGTCACTGATCCATCTCCTGTTATGGATGCAGGGACCCTTCATTTCCTGACCTCCCAGGTTGGCTGGGGCAATGTAACTGGGGTTCTGGCCTACACTACTTCTGAAGTGGACTGTAATGTGTGATGCTTGGTCCTTCTCACTCTTTCTCTTTGCTCCTCAGCTGGCCAGATGGAAGGAATCCCAAGAGTGCCTATGAGGAGGGCCCGAGGGACAACAGAGCCATGGATGAGGAGTTGGATCCCTGAGTCACTCCAGGGAGGAAACTGGATCTGCACTTGATGGTGCTGTGAGAACAACAAGGAAAACACTTGTGCTAAACAACCGTGATTTGTTCTTTCTTTAGCAACTAAGTCAATTTATTTACTTTCTTACTTTCAAATATATCAAACTGCCCTGGGACATACTCTCTGCCTCTATCAAAGGCCATGAAGCCAGCACCCACTCACTTTTTCCCGGGCTTACCTCTTCTCTGCAGCAATTTTTCCTTTGATGCTGAATCATTTCCATGAGCTTACAAATAAGTTCTCATCACTCCCATAGTAGACACCCGTTCTGTGGAGGGCAAGTATCCCTTCAACGTTCTATTTCTTTGCTTCCCCTTAGAGAAACTCTTTAGGAGTCACCGTGACAACACAGCTGAGAAAATCAACTTAAGGGAGGAAAGATTTATATTGGTTCATGGTTTCAGAGCTTGCAGTCCATAGTTGCATGGTCCCCATCACAGTGGGTTTATGGTGAGGCTGAACATCATGGCA